GATGGCGGCAGGTAGCGGCTTAGTAAAGGCGTCTGCCTTTAGATTAAGTTTTAAGTAGTTTTAAGTAGTTATTTTAACCCCCCTCTGGGTTTTTATTGTTTTATTGTTTTTAGACTAAGTTTCAAGTAGTTCTAAGTAGTCTCTTTTAACCCCTCTGGGCTTTTATTGCTTTATTGTTTTATTACCTGCTTCGTGCTTCAGCCTTGCTGCCTTGCCGCACCCCCCGCTGTGCATTTGGTGCTGAGGAGCTGAGTAATCTTCTGAGACGAGTGAGTGGGGAAGGGAAGAGGTCTGGTTGACTCCCCTGCCGTGAAGGGATTCCCCGTCACTGGAAAGGAGAGGGCTCCACCAGGGAAACATACTGAGAGCCAGCGCTCGCTGATGAGCTAAGCAGGAGAAAGCTGCAGATTCATCCCTACTCATCCATTGGCCCTGCTAATTAGGCAGAAACACTGGGGGACAACTGGTTTTCTAATAGGAAGACAACTATCCAACATGGTCCTCACTAGAAAGTTGTGTAAGGAGTTGGGTATCTTGCCAGATACGCCACTTAGCCCCCCGGGACCTGGAAAGAGACAAAGTAAAATTATAAATTACTTCCCCAAGAGGGAGGAATGCATGAGTGAACAAATTGAACCAATTATTGACGAAGTCACTCCTCTCCCCTTACTTACCTTGACCGGTCACATTACTTCAAAGAGCTTCAACACAACTCTGGAAACACAAATTCCCCAAGAAGCCTGGCGCAAGAGCTAGTTCTAGCTGAGAAACCTGTGGAAAATATTTCTGTCACCTATAACCAGCGGCCCCTGGCAGAATTAACAACATGCCACCAAGACCAGGCGCCCACTTCCAAATATACTCAAACTGAACTGAGTGATGGCCATCTTCAGGCCCATTTCCAAGATATAAATATAGACCTTTCCAACATAAAAAATTACTTGACAATAACAAATGGGTTATTGCTGACCCTTGTGGAAAATTTTATTCCCCAACCAAAAGAGACAACAGCAACCGATGCACCCCAAGTGCATAAACCAGATGAACTTGTGCATAACCCAGATGAACTAGTGAAGATGAGACAAGCAGTAACAACCAAGAAATTGCAAAAAAATAGATCAAAAGTCCGGGAAAAGAAAACTAAGAACATTAAAACAACAAGGAAAATAAAGATAAGCCGACATAAACAATGGCAGAAATTATTTAATCTACTCCCATTGGACTCAAATAAATCTGCTGCACGAGATAAAAAAGAGAATGGCAGGAAGGGGAAAAGAAGCCATCGCCAAAGCTAATGGCTAAGGTGGCATCTCTGAACCAGAATTCAGAACTAAGTGGGAGGACGGAAGCAACGTCCCAGAGTTCTGGTAACAGTTCACTCAGCGAACCAGATTCTGGGGGAGAAGTGGTCCCTAACAATGAAGGCAGCAAACCGCTTAGCAAATCGGGAAATGGGGACGATGCAATGCCCAATCGCGATGACAACACTATACAAGATGGGCAAACCTTTATTCAGGCAAGATGTTGGAACCTGATTTTAAATCCCTCAATATTAGTATTTACAAACTTCCCAAAATCAAAGGGCTTCCTTACAGGGAAAGAACGAAGAATGAGCTCCTTGAACGTTCTGAATGATATATTGCCAGGAGCAGTAAAGCCATATGACATTATTTCTGTAGATTATTTGCATCATGATGGTTGTTCAATGAGAGCAATGATCACATTTAGAGACCAGAACCTGGCCAAGTTTATCTACAGATCAAGATATATATTCTTAAAGGCCCAGATAAAAATTCTCAGATTTTTTGAAAACAAGGCACCACCGAATCCCCTTCTGGAAGCCAAGCACGCAAACCCTAGTAAGGAGAAACAACCTCCCAAAACCCGGCCTGGTCTCCAGAAACGAGAGCTTCAAAAATTAAAAAGGAAAGATGCCCACCTGCAAGACCTGCAACTTCAAGAGAATGAAGATGAGGATCTTTTTTCCGCGGAAGAAAATACCTTAATTAGGCAATTTCGCCATTTTCCATCTCCAATACAAGCTGAAATATTAGAAAGATTGGATATGCTAAGAATTAAGCTGGCTGGGAGAGATACAAACAAGGAAATCAATATGGACGCCCTTAAAAAGGACCAGACTTCCTATAATTTGAACCCTACACAAGAACCAAACCCAGCGGCCTGTCGGCCATGTTACCTTCAGACAATGGCTGAGATTAATTTACTCCCAATTAAGGAAGCCCAGCACACTGAAGAGAACACTACACCACCTCCAATAAAGAGAACCATCCCGAAGGTGAATTCACCAGGCTCTTGGGACAAGCTGAGGTATCTAGATGAGGCGGAATTAGGCCACAATCAGGTTCCGGAAAAACACCTACGGAAAGAGATAACACACTTCAAAGGCCCGGTGACCACTAATGTCAGTATTCAACAGTTAACAGCCGAAACTATAGAACATTTGGCTAGTTTGCCATGTATGGAGAGCAATGGGCCGGCTCATAAAAAAGTAATCCCTAAAAGCACCTTGGGAAATAATTGACAAAGATTAGACCAGAGACAAACACCAGCCGGCTCCCTATCTCCGCGGAAATCCGATATCATTAGATACGAACAGACTCAACCCTCACTCACAAATCAAGCAAAAGCAGTTGTTTCCTTGAAAGACGCACCCAACCTACCCCAGAGCCTTAAAATTGTCTCCTGGAATGTTAACGGCTGGGCGACAAAGCAAATGGATCCTGAAGCAATGAATCTCATCTCTTCTTTCGACATTGTATGCCTCCAAGAGACCTGGTCCCAACAAAGTATTGTTCTCCCAAATTATTGCTCCTTTAGCTCCTGTGCTCGTAAACTAACCAACAGGGGTCGCCCCCAAGTTGGCCTCGCCTGTCTTATTTCAACCAGCTTACCCCTCACTATTTGCGAGGAAATTAAATCTTCCCCTTACTTTCTCACCATAAAGATTCATCTCCCAAAGACCAAAAGCCCATGGTTGATAACTACAGTATATCTGCCCCCAGCAATTAATGATTTCGACCGCAATGAAAGGTGGTCTGAACTTTCGTCTTGGCTCCATGATCTCCAAACAACTAACCCAGGACTCCCTCAAATCCTCTTAGGCGACTTTAATGCAAGAATAGGTCCCAACGACGATGATATAATATCTCCCGCAGCACTCCTGGACAATCCCCTGCAGCCCCCCTGGGGAAACAGATGCTCTCTTGATCCTATAACAAATGCGTCGGGAGGCTGATGGCCCAACTGGCCATGGAAAACGATCTCTGCATCGCAAATGGTAACATTACTCCCTTGTCCTCGCAGCAATTAACGTGCATCACTTCCCGGGGAACCAGTGTTGTCGACTACATTTTATTGACGCCGGAGCTATTCTCAATTTCTACAAAAATGGAAGTGGCTGAATATTTTGGTGGTGACCACCTTCCATTGACTCTAATGTTAAACCTAATAGAGCCACTCCCAGTCTCCTCAAACTATAGAACCATGGTACAAAGCCACCCTGTATACAAAACAAAGAAATGGACAAGCCTCAGCTCCTCTCTTGCCCTGGACATACAAAAATCATTTGATATGTCTGCAGTTCCCTCTGATCCAATCCTGCCCGCTGACCAATACCGGAAATTACTTGATGCTTTCTCAACAACTTACATAACCACCACCTCGCCTACTTACCAACGCCTCTTCTCTGAATCGCCCTGGTTTGACAAGGAATGTAAAGCCCTAAGAAGGCGAATTAGGAAAATGGTCAGAATCATCAAATCTTCCAACGACCCCCAAACCCGTGCAAAGCTCATAGATATTAAAAGGACATATAGAAACATGATTCATTGCAAGAAACAGCAGTACATCTTTGAGGCTTGGTCCACTCTTCGTTCGGCTGTAGAGAGGCATGACTCCCGCTCCTTCTGGCGCCTAGTTAGACCTTCGGCACCATTCAATCCAGCTACCCAGATTTCCGCGGATGAATGGATTGCTTATTATTCAACTAGTTTCGCTTCTCCAAACCATCTTACAGATCTCCTTCAATCCCCATTGGACCTCAGTTCCTGCTCTCTTAGTCCCACTTCTTCAATAAACTTTACTTCAACTCGCATTTTCAACATCATAATGTCAATGCAAAGGAATAAGGCCCCCGGCCCAGACATGGTCCCGTTGGACCTTTTCCTGACTGATCCTCTTTGGTGGAGCGAACACCTGACTCCTGTATTCACCGCTATCTCCTCCGCCCTAGACATCCCCGACTCCTGGAGAGAAGCTATAATAGTTCCGATCTTCAAAGGCGGCCAGCCAAACATCCCTAGGAACTATCGCCCCATCAGCTTATTATCCATCCCGTGGAAAATATTTGCCGCTGTTTTACTGGAGGAACTTCTCTCATGGGTCCAGGAGAGGAACATTCTACCGCTAGAACAGATTGGTTTCCGAAAGTCAGCGTCAACCATGGACCATTGTCTAACTCTCTTTCACCTTGCCAGTAAATACACTGCTCCAAGGCAAGGCCACCTATTTGCCGCTTTCATGGACCTGGAGGCCGCCTTTGATTCCATTCCTAGGCAGAGATTATGGTCCAAACTTGCCCATCTGGGAATTGATCCGCACCTTCTCTCCCTAATTATCTCCCTTTATTCAAACACCACAGCTCGCGTCCGAACTAGTCCAAACGGCTCCCCCACTACTCCATTTCCAACGGCCAAGGGCGTCCGACAAGGTTGCCTCTTGGCCCCTTTACTGTTTAATCTCTATCTTCATGATGCAATTTCCACTTTGAAGCTAGCATCTAAGTATCCTCCTCACTTAGCAGGCCACCCCGTTGCTTCCCTTTTCTATGCTGATGATGCCGTCATCTTATCCAGAACAGCTGCGGATCTAGCAAATGCAGTTAATGCATTTATCGCCTATTGTAAGGCGGAAGCTCTTAATATTAATTATAAAAAATCGAAAGTCCTCCACTTCACTCGTTCCCGCAAACTCAAGTTGGAGCCGCTTAAGATCACAGGTGGCTACTTAGAAAAGGTAAAAGCCTTTAAATATTTAGGATTAATATTCACCTATAATCTCTCCTGGACCACCCATCTACAATCTGCCTTTCTCGCTGCAACCACGACCTCTAACGCCATTGTCCGATTTTACCACCAGAAGGGCGGCAAACACCTTCCAGCAGCAATTCAAATATTTAATGCCAAAGTCGTCCCTAAATTATTATATGGATGTGAAGTATGGACTACAGCAATATCAGGTAACCTGGATCGTCCACTTCATATGTTTCTGAGATCTCTTTCCGGCGTCCCGAGATGTGTCTCAGGTGCAGCCCTACGACTCGAGTTCGCCCAGCCTTCAATTGCTAGACGAGCATGGAGCCGAGCCATTTCCTACACCCTCCACCTATTAGCATCGGATGCTCGAATTAGAGGTGGCTTTTCCAATCTGATCCTAAGAGATATTCATAATTCCCCTTGGAAAACTACAATTAACCTCAAATTCCGCTCTCTTCTCAATCTGAATTGTAAAACTGTTCTTAACTTAGAGTGTATCAGCCCGGTGGCCCTACCCCTAATTAAAAAGAAACTACAGCAACTTGACTTCTCCAACACAGCTTCTTGTGCAAGAGGACCGTGTTCAGGCCTAGCCCTAGCTATTCCACCCCCTGAAGGGATCCCTCTATACTGCTTCACAATTTCTTCGGAGACTAAGCGAAGGGCTTTTACCTGTGCCCGTCTCAACTGTTTTCCTACAGCAGTTCTGTCGGGTCGTTATTCCAGAGTTCCCATCGCAAACAGAACATGCTCCTGTAATGACACGGCCCTGGAGACTATGGAACATGTAATGCTCTTCTGTCCCAACTGGACAGATGAAAGATCTCGGTTTTTAACTCCCCTCGTGAATAAGTTCCATCTCCCAATCCAGCCTTGGATAGTGTCCCTCTTTTTGCAGGATTCTGATTGTTGGATTACTGAGATGACAGCTAATTTCCTGCTTAGTGTGATGAAGAGGAAAGCGGCACTAACTTCTTCCTTAACACCACAGATGCAGTCGATACGCCGCACAACCGAACGAAGTTCCAAGTAGCCTTATTGTACAAGGACAATCGAGTTAGGACTAATCTGAGGAGCTGAAGGACCCTTTAACGGTCCTCCTCCAGCCTCAGCAGCTTTTGTTTTTTTTTTTGTTTTTTTTCACTTTCTTTAAGTATTCGCCCAGGACGATGTCTACCTCTACCTCCCCACCCCCATTTTATGTTGTTATTTCAATGTATATCATGCTATGGCCACTCGGCTAATGCAATAAATAAATAAATAAACTCAAACTCAACCTTACAGGAATGTTCGAATTGCAAATTCTCACTCAGTCGGGTGGGGTGAATCTGCTTCCATCAGCAAAGGCAGCACCTTGTTATACAGGCAACAAGGCTGAACCCTCCTGTTAGTCTCCTGTTCAGCTGCTGCCACCACCTGTTCCTCCTCCCCACTTGAGCTACTGGGTCTGACTCAGTGTAAGTCACGTTCCTATGTTCCTACTTGTAACGCACCTTAGAAGAATTTGTATCCTCAAAGGTGGGCTGTAAGTAATTATAATGAAGACATAATACACTGTTTTCCATGTGCTTGGGATAAAAGGGTTTCTTGCTGCAGTCAATTCCTCATTAGCAGTCATTGTGCCCCATCAATGATCAGGCAATACTAAAGATTAAAGGAGTAGTCACTCTGGAGAACAGAACTCTGGGGCTCACTATGCAGCCTACAGTGTACCCATTGAATCACTTACCCTTTTGTAGAATCATGGAAGGGCTATCGAAGGTAATCTAGTCCAGTCCTCTTCTGATGCAAGAAATCCACTGCTATAGCATCCCTGATAGGTAATCATCCAGCTTCCACTTGAAAACCTCTAATGAAAGGGAGTCTACGTCATTCCAAGGTCACCTGATCCACTGTCTCACAACTTGTACAGTCAGGAAGTTCTTCCTAAATCCATTTTCTTGTAACTTGAAGCCACTGAACACAAGATCATGAGAAGAAGAAGCTGGATCAGGCTTGTGACTCATCTAGTCCACCATCCTGTTCTCATAGTGGCCAACCAGGTGGCTATCTATGGGAAGCCTACAAACAGGACCTGAGCACAAGAGCTCTCTCCCCTCCTGCAATTTCCAGCAACTGCTTTTCAGAGGCAGTAAAGGTAAAAGGTAAAGGACCCCTGGACAGTTAAATTCAGTCAAAGGCGACTATGGGGTGCAGCGCTCATCTCGCTTTTCAGGCCGAGGGAGCCGGCATTTGTCCACAGACAACTTTCTGGGTCATGTGGCCAGCATGACTATACAGCTTCTGGCACAACGGAAGCCAGAGCACACAGAAACACCGTGCATCCAACAGTGAAGATGGATCATAGCCATCAGGATTGGTAGCCATTGACATCTCTATCCTTCATTAATTTGCTGGATCCCATTTTAAACTGGGTTTGGGTCCTACCACCTGAAGCAAGGAGAAAATACATCTTGTTCATGATACATGTGACAGCGCTTCAGATGGTATCTTCTTAATTATCTCTCCTCCAGGCTATTGTAGCTCGGCGGATGTATCTGAGCAGCCATGCGGGTGTTGCAGAAAGAATGAATGGCAGAAGCAAAGGAAGGTTGACGTTGCCATCCAACCCAGACAGGAAAGCAGATGCTGGGATCCAAGTGGTGCATGCTGATTAGGAAGCATGGAGTGAAACCTCTTGCACCAAGAGTCTGGAGGGGAACCTGCCATCCATGGAGGACTCTTTCTTGCTTTGGGGGCTTATGCTGGTCCTGGTGCCCTCTTCAGGGTCTTTGCAACCTTTGATGTATCGATGAACGTTATGCCATGATATTATTTTGGGGAAAGGTGCGTATTTATTCTCTCTTACCCTACGCTTTCAGATACAGTAACTGAGGCAGAAATGATGGATGCCTTACCCAAGGGAACACAGCTCAACTGATAAGCTGAGCTGAATATATAAGTCAAGAGCTGCAAATCCTTAGCCCACAACTTTGCTGTGAGAGCCTCAGAAATCATCTGGTGGATGACTGTTGGATAAAGACCACTGGGCAAAATAGGTCATTGATCTGACTCTCTGCAAAACGTCCTGTGGCCTATTTGCTGTTTTTGCAAGCAGAAATGTACAGCCAATGGGTTTCATCCAATGCTAGTCCTATTCAGAGTAGACCCTTTGAAATATATGAGTATGGCTTAGGACCATTAAATTTAATGGGTCTGCTCTGAGTAGTAGCAGAACATGTGCTTTGCATGTAGAAGGTTACCGTATATATTCAGGGCTGCAAATGTCCTCTGTCTGAAACCGTGGAGAGCTTCTGCCCCAGTCAATCTAGACAAGGCTGAGCTAGGTGGGTGTATGCTCTGGAAGCTTCCTATGTTCCCTAAGAATCCCTTCCCATTAGCTTTCTTCCATTATTGCTTTGAGATCAATCTCCCGATGAAATTTATTAACATTCATTTTTAAATTAGGCATCTGAAAAGACACTGTATCCTGGACTTCAGGTTTGTCGGCGGCTCGTGAGCAGAGAAAGTTCCTACCCATTAAGGGAATTCATTAAATCACATTCATGGAGGTGATGGCTCTCCTGATGAACTAAGGACTGGGAACTTCTCTTTCAATGCAACTCCATACTTTTCATAATTTAAGCCCTAGCAGTGGAGTGAGCAGGGACTATAAAATGATTACATTTCGGGTACTATTTTTTGAATTTTCTGCTCAGGGTCTTTCACGCCAATTACAGTTTCAAATCTTGAAAACTTTAACCTTTTTTAAATTGCAAAGTCAATCCCCACCCTGCAGCAATATATAAATATATTGCATGTGTATATGAATTCATGACCACAGAATTCTCATTAATTCGAATCCAGTTTAAATGGAGAAGCTCAAATGAATACTAGCGAATAGTTTTGTATATTTTAGGTTGGCTGTTTTAAATTTTTAAGTGCTCAGCACTTTTTCCTACACTTTTGCCAACATTGAGAATTGCTGTGCTTTTTCTTGATCTTCCGGTTTTTGATAGCACTCCAGTATTTGTCTCTAAATGCAGGTCCCACCCCCCACTAAAATGGATCAGTGTCTTTGCTTTTCTCATTTGATTGTCTCATGAAATGCATATACTGCTGGACTGTAAAACAAAAACAACCTCAAAGCAGTTTACAAAAAGAATAAAGCAATGAAATTATTGGTAAAAGCGATTAAAAATAATTATCTAAAACTTTTCAAAAAATACTTAAAATCAATAATAAGCTAAATACCTGATAAAAACACTCAGTGCTTTTCCCCCCTTAAAAAATGTTTAGGGGTACTCTCATTTTGACTCAAGAAAATCACCATTTTATAGTTCAAATCAGGAAAAATAAATACAGTAAATGGACAAAAGTACAAAGATTCACAAAATGTTTAGGGGTATGCGTAGCCCTGAGTCTCCCCAGAAAAAAAGAACTGAAAACACATATCAACATTTTACATACCTGGATAAACTTGCAAAACAAAAATGTTTGCAGCAGGCACAGAAAAGAGTACAGTGAAGACACCTGCCTGTTATCAATAGGCAGGAATTTTCATAGTGTGGGTGCTGCCACACTGAAAGCTTGATTTCTTACAAATGCAAAAGAAGTATTATGTGGAACATTTTCTCCCAAAGAATCCCAGGAACTGCAATTTACTCCTCACAGAGCCACAATTCCCAGTACCCTTAACAAACTATTAGTACGGAAATTCTTGGGCAACGGTCTGATTTAAATGTATGGTGTGTACACAGCCCCGAAGTCTTCCTATTCCTGTTACGTGCCCTAGGATTGGGGGAATCAGGCCCAGCCCACCCACGAGGCCAGGTGAGGGGGCTGCCTCAGGTGGCAAGGTCCCCAGGGACAGCAAATCCCCTCCCTTGTTCCTGATATTGATCTTTACTCATCCCTTCTTCCCTGGCGGGGAAGGGGGTGCCCTATTTTGGGGGTTGGCCTCAAGTGCCAAAGTGTCTCTGGCTGGTACTTGAGAGAACATATGCATCAGCTTTGGAATATATTAGATGGGAGGGATACCACCCTATACCATATTGGTCCAAATATCAGCCTCACCCGAATATAAGCCACAGCTTTAAAACTGATCGCCTGCCAACCTAGCAGTTCGAAAGCACCCCCGGGTGCAAGTAGATAAATAGGGACCGCTTACCAGCGGGAAGGTAAACGGCGTTTCCGTGTGCTGCGCTGGCTCGCCAGATGCAGCTTGTCACGCTGGCCACGTGACCTGGAAGTGTCTGCGGACAGTGCTGGCTCTCGGCCTCTAGAGTGAGATGAGCGCACAACCCTAGAGTCTGTCAAGACTGGCCCATACGGGCAGGGGTACCTTTACCTTTTACCTTAAAACTGATGGGGGGGGAATACCCGGATATAAGCTGCTCCATTCCTCGCTGCTCCTGGCTGCATACTGGATGGAGGGGGGGAGCTGCGCTGTGTTGCTGGCGGCCTTTCCCCTTCCTTGATCTCTTCCTTCCCGGCCTCGGGGGAGAGGATGGGGGACTACACATGGTGCTGGCGCCACTTCACTGTGCTCCTGGTGCTGTTTGCCCCACACTCCTGGCTGCATACTGTAAGGTCATGAATATAAGCCACACTTTAACTTTTCACAGTTGGAATTCAGGGGGAAAGTGTGGCTTATATTTGGGGCAATACAGTGGTACCTCAGGTTAAGAACTTAATTCGTTCTGGAAGTCCGTTCTTAACTTGAAACTGTTCTTAACCTGAGGTACCACTTTAGCTAATGGGGCCTCCCGCTGCCACCATGCGATTTCTGTTCTCATCCTGAAGTAAAGTTTTTAACCCGAGGTACTATTTCTGGGTTAGCAGGGTCTGTAACCTGAGGTACCACTGTTCGGTACTTCTACTCCATCCTTTCCACATTGCTGTCATGTGCTCAGTAGCACATTGTAAGATCCAGTTCCTTTGCCTTTGGTTTCCTCACCACAACACACTGGTAGGATTGCTCTGTAAGAACTGCAGAATCATCTGGCACAAATTGTTTCTATGCCCTGTACACCATAGAACCTATGCCATGAGGCGCTCTGTCTGCCCCCTCACCCCACATACATATTATCTTCTCTGCTTGGTGCTGCTGCCTCCCCTGGTGGGAAAGGAAATTACGGCAACCCGTGTCGACCGTTGCTAGGCAACAGCTGAAGGACACTCTCCTCCATCATTTCTTGATCGACAGGTGGTGATGAAGGAGCACATCCTGCAAGGTTCTAGCAACAGCTGTGTGTCTCGCCTGGCCCTTCTTGGGTG